ATTTTATTTTTATATAAAATAAAATTTTTGGGATATTTGATTTAAAAAAAAAAAAAAAGATTAGTTAAAAAAAAAAAAAAAAAAATTTCTAATATTGATCTAGTTATTGTATTCTTAAAATATTCTGATTTAGGGGTATAGCGACTTAGTGAAGTGGTCAAGTTGTCGCACTCCAAGCGGTTGAGTATTGGTTCATTTCTTAGGAGAACAAAAATTGGATTTTAAGAAAAACAGAATTCGGTAACTATTGTCGTGGCCGGGAAAACTTGAGACCCTGTAACTGTGGTCATACTAATTACGGTTTGCCAAAAATTGGAAGATCCTGGGCATTTGTATAATATAAGGAGTTACAAAAAGGCATGCAAGCCAGTTTAGTTAGTGCAAACTCAAGATAAGTTCTTCAGAATCGCAGAAAGCCACAGGGCCGATATGGCAGTGAAGCACTTGCTTGGGAAATCCCGAATAGAGAGGTAGTACAGATCTTCGATGGTACTACATACAGATTGATACTTGGAAAACTGGTAAAAAACTAAATAAGACCGAAGTGCTTGCCAAGGCACTCTACTAACCAGGCTACCGGAGGGTAGCCAGAGAAAAAAGACTTAACCATGAGGATCAGAGCAGGTCACAGCCCTTCCAGGCTATCTGAATTGGTAGTTTGGAATAGCTGAGGATACTAGTAATAGTCTGTAAATGGGTACTAGGGTTTGGGTAAACTCTATAAAGATAGAAGTAGATTGTATATTAACCAAAGCCTAGGTCAGCCAGATTGTAGGTACAGAATGCTCTAGCAGGTTTACCCCAAGAATAAAATTGTTCTAAGGTAGTTACTAAAAAATATTGTATCGAGGTTATATATATAGAAATATATGTACGATGGATGTAGATCATCTAGTTGTAAAAGTAATCCAAACAATAATAAAGTACTTGACCGAAGGGGTTACTTTAAAACCAAAAAAAAAAAAAAATTCTGATTTGAATACCAATATAATAGAGAAGTCAGATATTCTATAAAATAGGTGGGCAATATAAAAAATAAGCTTTGCTAATAATTAGTAATCATTAATTTTTAATATTGGAGTTGCGGAGTTTGCAGAGTTTGCCCACCTATTCTATAGAATATCCAAGAAGTCTATCCAAGCAAAATTTAACCTCTACAAAAACCACACAAAGTAATCCATTTTTTGATTTTATACTTTTGTTATTTTGTTAACAATACATCTACTTGTATAGAACCAAATAATTATCTACTTTCAGTATTTTCTATAATATTTTTTATAGTTCAGTTTTTTGAAATTGTTTAGAGGATCATTAGAAAAATTTTATATATAGCTAATATTTTAAAAATTTATTTTATTATATATAGAAGTAATTTATATATTACACCTAATTTTAAATTTAAATTGATTACAATACCTTAGCATCATAATGCAATAGCACTATAAAATAAAACTTTAATTTTATTTACAATATTGTTTTATATATTTCAGGAACTATTAGACCAATTACAATAATTTAACCATTATTTGAATCAAAAAAAATCATCTTTACAATTTTGATTAAAAATCAAAAAGGTTTTATTTAATAATAAAATCTTGTATATACAGTATAAACCTGAGAAAATTTTTATAAAAAATATATAAAATACCCATTTTGAAAGTTACAGATATTTACGTATAAACAATTTTATCATCATCCCTATACAGTAATTTACAATTAAATTATGATTAATATTTTGTTTTTACACATCGTACTAACTTTTTTGATTAAGTATAAATATTAAAACATTCACATAAATCATCTTTCTCACATAATCATCTTTCATTAAAAAATTTTATTAATCATTAAATACATAGTATCTAATGTAATTTATTTTAGCAATCTAAAAAATAGAGCAAAAAAATATAACAGAAAATACAATATTAATAATACCTACAAGTAATCCTATATATATAAATGTTCATAACGTCAAAGCCAATAGGCATGTTTATACGTGCGTAAAGTGCACATATCAACAATAAAACGTAAATTGAATAAATCTTTTAGAACAATTAAACCTTATTACAGTAATAACTATAAACTAAGTAGTAATCATTGAAGTGTAATTAACCAAAGTGAAAATATATTGTGAACTCAAAAGTATGTAGTAATGTCATAATTTTTTTAAAAAAGGTTTTTGAGTTGCAACCTAAAGTGCATATCTTCCACTATGACTTTCGGTGACATTAATTAATTCGGAAATGGATTTTTGCAAAAGAGCATATTCATTATCTCTCGGGATGCACAGCTAAAAATATTTATAAAAGAATAATTAATAAGTTGAAATCAAATAAAGTAGTAATAGTTTATTCATCTTACCTCGCCTATGTCATAAATATGAACACGTCCATCAGAAGATCCAATTGCTGTCTTTCTTCCTTCTTTATCCCATTGAATCTTATTTAATGCCTTGCCTTGACCAACTTGAGTATTTACAATGGGTACCTACCAATATTATTATTGTTGTTAGTTCTCGTGTGATTATTAACCTATTCAGCTTTAACATAAAATTGTATAATGAATGAATGTAGAAAATTACCTCAGTATCAACATTCAAGTTCCATATAGAGAATTTTCCTGTACCGTCAACTGAGGCAAACAGCGCTGGATGACAAGGTGACCATTTAACATCATAAACGTAATCGTCTGATCCTTCAAAGGAATGTAATGGAGCAATGACTTGCGGAGACGTTGATGGTTTTGAAACAGACTTTTTTAAAAAAAAATAGACATCAATAATCAATAATCAATAATTTTGATTTAATTTACAAATAATTTAAATTAATTTCAAATACTTTAGCTCTCCATAATTTCACAGTCCAATCAACAGATGATGTCAAAAACAAGTCAGAAAAGTCGACAGGACCAAAAAGAGGATGAAAGTGAAGACCAGTGATTGGACCCCAATGACCTTTGTAAGTGTCATATTGATTAATGCCAGCTTTGCTAAAAATTCAAAAAAAAATAATTTGAATAAAGTTTTTTTTTTTTATGTAATGATTAAAAAGGATCAAAATTATTTAATATTTACCCCCTAGCACCACCATATCGATTGGCTTGATAAACGATACCTTCTTCTGTTCCAACCCAGAAAGCAGCAGTTTCGTTGTCTGGGAATCCGAGGGCAGTAACTGAAACCTCATCAGTTTTATGATGTCCAGAATGTACCAATTCTAGATGTTCCTATATATATAATACCAATTTAGAATAGCAATTTAGAATAGCAATTTAGAATAGCAATTTAGAATAGCAATTTAGAAAGATATAACATCAAAACGAACGCATTCACAAAAAAAAAAAAAGTTAAATATAGAAATTACCTGAGGTTCAATTAACTTGTCTAATTCCCAAGAACATACTAATCCATCAGTACTTGCAGTAATGAGATTGTGAGCATTTTGAGTACCCACCATTTGCATCGAATAAACAGGATGAGTATGTCCATTGGCAGAAAGAGGAGTTTTGACAACAGGTAAAGATTTTGCTCTCATATCCCATAGTACTATTTGCCCAGAATAAGTACCACCAATAACATATTTTGGATGAAAATCTGAGAATGCAACAGTAAGTACATCCGACTAAATACGTAATATAGAAATATAGTAAGATAATATTAAGAGGACGGTATTTTTATATTAATAAATTTACTAACCTGTGAATGGAAAATGAATTCTGGACGTTCAAGTAATCGTAAATTCCACACTAAAACTGCACCATCCGGTTCATTCATAGCAATTGGATTTTTATTATAAGAAGCAACAACAAGTTCAGGATTCTATAGTGACAAATTAATAATAATTTAGATCAAAATTCGGAATTATTATTATTATTATAAATACATGACTAAATCTTACTTTTTTCGACCAATTAACATCAGTTACAGAACGATTTTTACTCCATTTGTCATCAAAAAATGAGCACATATATTTAACACGATTTCCTGTCTTCTCATCGCTTATAATGATAGATAGGAAAAAGAAGAATATTAATATAAATATTAATAAGAAATGGTGATATTATTACGCTAGATATAGAAAGTGAAAAAACTACCTTTCTACATCTTTACTAATACTATAATCTTTCATAAAGTCATAATTTTCATTAAGAGCTCTCTCAATAATTTTGGTAGTATGATCAATAAAATCGGCAAAATCTGCAGAATTAACGATTTTCTTCCTGTCTTCGTCGGTTATATCTTATGAAAAAGAAAGAAAAACGGTTAAAAACATAAAATATATAATGTACAGATATACATATACATACATATAAAAATGAGCATTTATATATATGTGTACGTGTACATATGTATATATGCGAATATGAAATAAATTATAATACTTTTGTCTTTTTGATTTTTTTTCTTTTCGGCTTCTAATCTTGCACGTTGTTCTTCCTGAGCCAGTCGTTCCTGTCTTTCAATTTCTTCTAATTCTTTTAGAATCTTTGAACGAATTTCTTCCTCTGAAGGTGGTGGAGGGCCAAAAGAATTTTCAGAAGTCTGTACTTCTTTACTATATAAAACGATTTCCTAACATAGGCAAAAAAATTTAAATATAAAGATTATAACTATAAATTTGACATAATATCGAAACATTTGGATTTTTAATACCTTTGGAGCAATATCTAATATAACAGCATCGAACGGGGAGAAATCAGGTATATAACGAGTAGTAAGATTTGGTATTTGAGGGCTGTAATATAAATAAATAGTTTGGTGTCGAGAAAAGTTTATACTAGAACCAAAATAATAATAAATGCTTCAATGGTCAAAAAAGAACCTTTGAGGAACCGAGGTATTTGGAGAATATTGAGAATGTTGTGAATGCATAGAAAGAGAATGCCTTCCCCTTTCAGTTTTGCCTTTATCAGAACCATCAGAATCTTCGGCATTAGATGGAGTTCCGGGACGTACAGTTTTATCCGCTAGTAACGCTTTGACAAGATTATCTACCTCTATCATCTCTTTTTCCTTACGATCCCTTTCCTATTATAAATAAAGACAGTTGAGTCAAAGATTAAACGAGATTATGATAAATAGTAAGAAAAAAGTGTACCAAATCGACGGGTTTGACCGGAGGGTCAGCATTATTACTAAAGACTTGCTTTCGCTCTTCTCTTGCACGCCTAAGCTCAGCAAGCTTTTGTCTTTTTTTTGCCAATTCTTCTTTTCTACGTTCACCGTCCATTTTTTAAATAATACACTTCAACGTATTAGTCGATAGTAAAGAAGCTAGTTTACAGTTTATCGAGTTTTAATAAAATTTTTTTGTATGACCATCAATTTTTTTAAAGATGGAAATGATAACATCCGTTTAATTCCGAAACATACGAAACATGGAATTTGTTTTCTAAATTGGAATCCAGCTTCATCGCATGGGCATTCGAAAAGCAAAGACCCTTTTTACATGCGGCGGTGGCTAGACGTAACGTGATAATATCGTGCGAAAAAAAGTCATAGCTTTAGTGGCATGATCATATAACTTCATTACATAATTATTACGACACAATTATAGACATTATGACTATATTAAAGAATGCTATATAAATAATGCGAAAAAAACGCCTTTTCAACTTTTTTTTAAAGGTACCTTGTAAAAAATGCTCGAAAAATTGGAGAATCGAGTACAGGCTGGTAAATTATTGGCCGAAGAAGTAGCGAAAAAATATAATAATGACAAGAATGATGTTATTATTTTAGCTTTACCAAGGTAAAGATCTAGCTACAAATCTTAGATTTATTAGATTTGTTAATAATCGTCCTTGTCAAAATATGTGTATTTAGAGGTGGAGTTCCTGTTGCCTATCAAATTTCACAACGCATTAAAGCCCCGTTGGATGTCTTCTTGGTCAGAAAAATTGGTGTCGAAGGGTGAGTTTATGATAATGAACACGTGACGTAAGATATTTAGCAGAATTTATGGTTGCGCGCTTTTCCTATCAGGTCTTCAATGCATAAATGTGAAATTGAAATGGTAAAATTTAAAAAAAGATATACTCTTTTGGTATTTCACGGTATGATAAAGAATAGTGTAGCAAAAGTTCACGTGACCACGGTTCGTTGAATACCTGGGAGAATGGTTGGTCGAGAATGGTTGATCGGGAATCGTTCAAATTTTTGCAATTAATTCTTTTAATTTTAAATTGTAGTCACGAGGAATTAGCCATGGGTGCCATTACTGAAACATCCAGTATCTTCAACGAAGATATTATTGATATGCTTCACATCAAACAAGAATCAATTAATCGTGTGATGAAACGGGAGGTATGCAGGTTTAATTAAAAAACTAATCGTTACTATAATGATATTTTTTATTTTAACGTTAATCTTTTTACCATAATCAGAATGCCGAGCTGCAACGTCGCAATGAAAAGTATAGAAAAGGAAAACCAGCCCCCAACGTTACCGAAAAGACCATAATTATTGTTGATGGTTCGTATTTATTCATTTTATATTAAGATTTATACGTATTAACGTTTAATATATCTTTATAAATATATCGAGATTCTATTATGTTAATCTATTTTGTATAAGATGGCATTGCGACAGGTGCAACTATGAGGGCTACTTATACATCCCTGAAGAAACTGTATTTACATCTATATTAAGCTTAGTCGTTCATTCTTTTGCATTTAGTTTACTTATTTATCATTTATGTCATACCAGTAATCCTAAAAAAATAGTCATTGCCTTT